AAATATTCATATAAATAAATTTTAAATTTAATTTTAAATTATATTTTTTAACATTCATATTACTTCATTAATTTTATATTACTTTTATAAATTACTCCTATTAATTATATAATTAATTACATCATAATTATATTATATATAAAATATATAAATTAGTTATATAATTATATTAAAATTAATTTAACATGAAATATATTAAAATATAATTAACTTTTTAAAAAAAAAATTATTATTGAAGTGTATATAATTAAAAAAGTTATATTAATAGCATTTTACATTAAAGATGCTCTTACTGAATGGGTTAAAATTACCCTCATGTGGGAAGTCCAGTCCAATCTAAAAAAGAAAATTACCCTCATGTGGTCTTCCAATAGTTCCACCAATGGCCAGAGTTAATAATTAGCACATCCGCATCTTTCCACTTGGGGGAAGTCCAGTCCAATGTATCCACTCTTACAGTCATCCTCAACTCATTCGGAGCTCCGGCAGGGGGCCGACCTTGTACCATTAGAAATGGAGCCCTAAATATTCAACGGTGCTTTGTGATTGGACTCCCATTCACCTCATATATAGAAGAATTGTCAGGAACAGCAGTGGCAAGCATACAGAGGAGGGAATCCCGTTGGTTCCTTCCAATGGAGTCTCCAACAAATACAAGCCTCCGCTTCCTCGGCTTTTCCGACATCAACCTTGCATCAAATCTGATCTCAAGAAAATAGAGAGACAGAGAACCCCAGGTATGATTCGCATTCTTTGGATTACTGTGATCACAGTATTAATCAAATTCTAGTATTATTTTTTTAATTTGTATATTTTCCTTTATTATTTAACATAAAAATAAAAACAAAATACCACAAATATTTTCTTAAAATTATATAATCACTCCAAAAATAAAAATGGATTCACAAAAAATGTATTCGAGACTCTCATTTCATGAAACTATACTATGATACCTTGGGGTTGTTCAATTTATCCTTGTTCTTGGGGTTTCCCTTCATCATCTTCACGGTTTTCTTTATAGAGGCTTCAATTGAGATGTAGCTAGCTGCTAAGGTTTAGCAGGGCAAGGAAGTGAGGAGAGCAAGACAATGGTTACTGTTCCTGCGCAAAAAAACAACCTTAACCATCTATTGATGGTAGAAACTCGTAGGTGCTGGCTGTATTGCGCACTAGTTTGAGAATCTATTAGGTTTGATGAAAATTATGAAATTAAAGTAGATTTTTGGGTCAACGTAAATAGTTTAATGAAATATCAAATTTTAGTTATTTTTTTTATAATCCGGGATATCTTACAGCTTATATATATTATGATTAATCCCTAAACTTATTAAATATTTTGTAAAATCAATAAACAAATAAAACATTACATGCAAAAAAAAAATTAAATTTAAATATAAAGAAAAAGAACAAGTCTCTTTCCCAATATACTACAATCTCAAGTTTTAATATTAATATTAGAAGAGTTTGTTAATCAATAAATAAAAAATAATAGTAATTCTGTAAAACAATTGAATTTTTTTATTGATTTTTTTCTTAAATTAACACATGTATAAAGTTAAGTATATAAGTTTTAAGTTAAGGGTATTTTTTTTCTTTCTAATTTAAGGGAACGGGAACCCAGTCCCCCATGAAACTAATGCATTAGAGGCACGAGGAAATACTAAATCCTGACATGTCGAATGTTATGGAAATTAAAAAAGAGTGTCCATATGGCTCTGATTAGTATCATGGTTAAATCATTTAAAAAAAATAATCTTGTTAATTTTAAATTAATTTTTTATATATTTTTTTAAATAATTTTAATGTATGATATTAAAAATAAATTTTTAAAAACATAAATATAATTTTTTTACATATATTTTTAAATAAAAATTATTTTAAAGAAGATAGGCTATAAGACAATTGCCATGATGTAGACCGATAGGGAGAGGGTTAAGAGTTTTCTTTTTCAATTTTTAAGAACTGTGATTCTTTAATTCGCGACAATCCTTCAAAGAACAGAGCATCCACTGACCGGTAAAGGAGCATCCGTGGAATGTGCTATGATCCTCACCGGTTCACTACTTCTTGATAGTTGTTTAAAAAACTGAAAAAGAATTCAGACCTAGCACAAAAAAAAAAAAATTCAGGCATGTCGGCAAAAGGGTTGATATCATTAAATTCCATCTCCATTTATTAAGTATGAATTTAGAAGTGTTTTTCAAAGTTATTTGTACTTAAAATTGTATTAAAATAGTTTTTTTAATAGTATGTTAAAATTATAAAAAAAATATTTTTTCATATTTTTTTCAAGTAAAATATATTCTTAAAAAATAATTGAAAACAAAGTTATCCCACTTCAAACACCCTCTTAAGCGCAAACCATAAAAGGTGCACATATATACCGATCAAAAAGAAACAGCAACGCTATTGGATCCTTTTAGACATTCCCACATGAAACGAGGCCAGATCCATATCCATGGGCCAGCATCTGGTATACCTTTTGGATCGCTGAGCATTTTCTCGATCTGGGACTAGAAGTACCTATACAGGACCTTGGTAAGAAATGAAATGATTTCTTGTGAGAAATCAGAGATGTCGTGGAAAACAGGAACGTTGTAACCTGGCTTTGTTTGGTTCCAGTTTTTGTTTCCAAATATTTGAAATGGAAAATCATCTGCTGCTTTTGCTTTCTGTTTTTGTTTCCAAATATTTGAAATGGAAACAGAAAACTTGTTTGTTTTGGATTTTCAAACCACCCCCGAGTTATGAAAGAAAGTTACATGAAACGCATCGAATCCTTTCTCAATAAGCTGTCTCCAAGGATCATCCACTGCCTGCTGGAAATACCAAAACAAAGGGCCTGGCTAGAGGGGCATTTTCTTTGGTAAACAGGTTTGCTTTGTTTAAAGCAACCTCCATAGAAAGCAAGAAGTCTAGTGATTGTTGCTGGAGCTTGGAAAGGATTTACTCAGCAATGTTCATTTAGAAAACTTGAGTGCAGGTCAACTGATTCCATGAAATATCACATTTTGCAACGCTCAGCAAATGTTATCGATTCAGATTTACTCCAGAAGCATTAACTAAAAAGGCCAAAAAGTTGAGACAATAAAGTAAGACGATTGCTCACAGGATAGTTATGAAGACCAGGGTGGTGCAGACAGTGCCAACAAAACAAAAGAGGTGATGGGCTGAGCTACGTGCCAAGAAAATATATTTAATCAAGCTAGAGAATACTGTAACAAATCAGTGCTCTTACCTTAATGATCGGTTCATTCTCCGTGACCGAGAACGAGAAACGCCATGGCGAGGTATGCTGCTTCTGGTACTGCCTTCATGATACAAATTTATATAGAGAAGTTATTGTTATCTAACCAACCAGGATAATGAAATCAGTAGTTTTATTACCAGGAGCAAAATTGATTTTTACACAAGGAAAGCTACACATCTGGAAAGTTTGTTAGAGCTCTGGCTAACAGTGATTACAGTAACAGATGCATTTCAGTTCTCACAAAATGTAGTACCAGAATGTGAGGAAAGCAGCAATGCCAGTTACGATACGTAGCCTATCCAACCTGCTTTCAATTTTCATCTTCTCCTCTCTTAACTCGCTCTGCGCTTTTGAGTACAAATGACAAGACTCGAGAACTTCACTGTGGTTTTTGCTCCTGCGGCAGCTCAATGCTTCCTTGAGAATAAGCAAACTATTTCTTCCATTGACATGAGCGCCTTCCATGTCTTCCAACTGCATGCTCAGCTCTGTTAATTTGAGAGTTGTCTGAACGCCCTCTCCTTCAGTGTGGACCACTCTAAACTTCATGATAAGGATGCATTCTACTACTTGACATGGAAGAATGTCTTTCGCAGAAAGTACAGATCCAAAGCGTATCACAAAATCCTTGTCTGTAGGCCAATGCCTTTGCCCACCGAGAGGGCTCCAGCTAGCAAGATTGGCAGCTTGCTTGATTTTTTTGTTAACAACAATCCAACTAAGTCGAAGCCCATCACGAAGCTCCATCCATAGTTTTCCATCCTTCCTTTCTTTCTCCATAGATAAAATTGGGGGCAGGCCATCAGAAACCGAAAGGAAAACTTTCCCTTCATTATCATCATCCCTAGCTGCATAGGTAAGAAGATCAATACGAAATGGACAGTTGTAAAACCAACCATTGAACTCATTGGCATTAGGGATGCCCCACAGTACTTTCGAACAGATTGTTTTATCCTTGTACCTGATATCAACAATGGACACAAAATCCGACGGTGCAACACTCTCAAATTCATCTACATCACCATAGTATTCAGCCTCAGTCCATTCTTCAGGGTACTCTAAGTAATCGTTCCATTGATACTCAGTTACCTCCTTGTTAACAATAAGCGGAAAACAGTCTGCATAAAACTTTCTGAATCCACCAATTGACGATATTAGACTTCTAACATCTTCCCTGTTCGTGGAAGGCCACATAGAAGAACAAACATTATCCCACAATTTCTCTTCTTTTGAAATGGAACAGAACGCAGCACAAGCACAAGCTGCACTGGCCAGTGTGGGGCCATCAAGACGCCTCAATATATCATAGAAGAGATCACTACTTAACGATGTTTCATTCTCAACCGGTCCAACCGACATAGCCATAGACAGGAACTCTGAACATAGCAGAAACAAAAAAGATAAAATTACTGCATGCATATAAAGATAGTAATTCAACATAAGTTCTCTTGGTAATCACAGAAAATTAGCAATCCATGATGAAGTTTTGAGGAAATGGTTTCGAATCATTCAACTTATCCCTGCAAGAATCACTAATAAGAGAAAAATCACAGTTCAATGAGATATGTAGACAAAAAAAAGGACCATCTTAAGTTTTTCCGATTACAATAACAGACAACATAAAAGAAGCTACAAACAAAGCCCGTCATTTACAAACATCACCAAAAATCCACTCAAAGGCATGATTAAGCAATGATAAAACGATAGCCGTGATCAATTAAATACCAAATCAAAACCAGCACTTCAATGAGAAAGAAGAGATAGAGAGGACGAGGACACTGGGTTAACAACGCACCTTGTAGATTAACAAGCAGGCATCAGAAGCGAAACAAAAATAAAGAGAACAAAACGTAAGCGCAGAGAAAAAGCATTCAGGAATCAGAAAAAGAACAAACGAGAGAGCGATTCTTTGAGTGTTTAGATGAAACTAAGGTTTTGTTGGGATTTAAGGGTTACTGTCTTCTTTCTTGCTGATGATTTTATCGGTCTGATAAACATGAGGAGGAGCATAGGGGGTTTTGTTTCTGCTCGGTCCGGTCTGGTCTGGTTCTGATCTCTGATCCGTTTCCTTGCGGTGCTTTGTGATTTTCAATGAATATTTGCCACGTTATTTATATGTTGTGTTGATTGATGTAGACCACACTGTCGTGTCTAGTCTTATCTCTTCATTTTTTTTTTAGATTAATACCTCCAGTTTTCCCCTCTCAAGATGTTATCTCTGGCTTTATCTCTTTTATTTTACAGGCAAAATCATAATTAATGTAATTTCAAATTTAAATCATTCTCTTTCGCTTTTGCGCCTACAAATTGCTGGTCCAGCTTGGAAATGATCCTGATTAATTTCGTGCATCTTGTTGTACTAATTTTTTTATATAAAAAATATAAAAAATATTAAAATTTAAAAATATTAGATATTTTTCCAGAATTATACTTAAAAGTTTTTGATTTAACTACAAAATCTAAAAATAATATTTATAATATTAATAATAATATTAAACTTGCATAATTTAAGTTTAAATGGGTCTGGATATAATATCAGAACTTTAAATATTGGTCTGGCTGTAAGATTGTATAATAAAAGTGTAATAATTAAATAAATTATTTAAAAAGAAAACAACTAATAAAAGGAAAAAAACTAATGAAATAACAAATTAAATTAATTGGATTAATACTTTAAAACAGGTTAACCCGTCAAACCTTAAATTTATGTCATAAAAGTTTGATAACTAAATATAAAAATATAGTGACTAAATACCCAAAATTAACTTGACTAACCCTTCAAATTAGGATACCTGTCAAATCCAAAATCTGTGTCATTGAAGTTTGATAATTAAATAGAAAAAATTAAACATTAACAAACTAAATCAAACAAAAAAATAATTAAAAAGGAAAAAAAAGCCATCAGCCTTTTACTAATAAGGAAAAAAAACTGAATCAACTGGATGAACCCATCAAATCAGGTTAACTCGTTAAACCTGGAATTCGT